ATGGGAGCCGGCTCCTTCCTGAGAGCCCCTCTCAGCCTTCCTTCTTCGTTTCTACTTCGTCCGGTTGTCATCTGCGCTTCCGGCGAAGTTCACTGTCCTATCCCAAATCTTTTTAAAATTCTTAGGGCTTAATTTAAGTTCTTGTACTCCTAGAAAATCCTCATATTCCAGTGTGAATTAATTGTCAAGAACCTTAAATCACAACCGAACAGTTTATGCAAAAACAACAGTTTAAGTTGCAAGAACGTAAAACAAATTACCACCTAATCTAACATGCATAAACGTCCATTTTAAAAGTTTAATTAGATTCCTGGAGTCTATTTAGAATGCACAGAACACAAGTTTACAGGAAGGAGATAGAATGAAACTTGCCTTTAGGTTTCGGTTTGAAACCTAAACCACCATCTCTGAGTTCCGGCAACCCCAAAACTGTTTCCCCCTTCTCTGACCACTGTTCTCTTCCTGTGTTGCTTCTTGGTTCAACCCACGAGCAACTCCCCTTTACAAATCCCTTGCCCCTCTGTTTAACTCTCAAGACAATCTCTGTTTTGCCTCCCAAAACCCTCTGCTATCTTTTTGTGTTTTCCACTCAATCCACTCTGTGTTACGGGAAAAAAGGTTCTAAAACCCTTGCAGACATATATCTTATATATATATAGGCTCCTGTAAAGCCCTAATCCGAATTCCAGCCTAATTATATGTCGGCTACTTCATAACCCAACGTAATTACAAAAACCTAATTATATTATTAATGATATTTTAATAATAAAGCATACTCTAATACATGTCATTTAATAACAATAAATCAAATCATTAAATGAAATTACAATTAAACAATTAAAGTAACACAAATAAATAAATACAATTAACCACTTAAGTTAAACATTTACACAAATACAATTTAACAATAAATTTCATTAAACACAATTAATCAATTAAGAAAAACACATAAGTCACGTAAATCACATAATTAAATAAAAATGCAATAAAAATCAAATTTTAAATTCCCATTTTATCCTTTTGAAAACCAGGGGTATTATAATATCCCACGGTATCCGGCAAGCAAAATGTGAAAAGACGAAAATACCCTTGTAAAATAGAAAAATTACAAAAAAAATAAAAATAAATAAATAGAAATTGGCAAAAATTATAAATATTACATTTTCCCCAACTTTAAAAGATTTCGTCCCCGAAATCAAGCCATACCTGAGGGAGAAAACAACTCTGGATACTTGGGGCAACCCTCCTATTCGAGCTCCCAAGTAGCCTCCTCAATTCCGTGATGCCTCTAAAGAACTTTTACCAATGGTATCGTCTTATTTCTTAATACCTTCTGCCGTGTGTCAAGGATCTGAACTGGTCCCTCATCGTAGGAAACATCCTCATCAATGTCAACCTCAACCCAACTCAAAACATGAGATGGATCGGGTTCGTGCTTCCATAACATCGATACATGAAAGATATTGTGGACTCTGTCTATCTGTGGTAGCAATGTAAGTCTGTAGGCAACCTCTCCTACACGCTCCAAGATCTCAAAAGGTCCAATGAATCGTGGCAACAACTTGCCACTCTTTCCTAACCTCATCAACCCCTTCCGTGGAGAAACCTGAAAAAAAACATGGTCACCCACCTCAAAAGATAGCGCATATCTACATTACTCTTCTGTCGGCTCGAAGCTGTAAGTAATCTCTGCCTGATCAACTTAATCTTCTCAGTAGTCTCGAGTATAATGTCGGGTCCTGAGGTGACTGTCTCGCCCACCTCAGTCCAACAAATAGGAGACCTACAAGGTCTGCCATACAACGCTTCAAATAGAGCCATCCGAATACTCGTCTGATAACTATTGTTATAGGCAAACTCAATAAATAGAAGGTGATCCTCCCAACTACCTCCCAAATCAAGAACACAGGCCCGAAGCATATCCTCTAAGATCTGGATGGTACGCTCCGACTGGCCGTCCGTCTGTGGATGGAATGTCATACTAAAATGCAACGGTGAGCCAAATGTTGCATGAAGTCCTTCCCAAAACTTCAAGGTGAACTTAGCATCCCTATATGAAATAATAGATACTGGAACTCCGTGCAACCTCACAATCTCTTTCACATACAACACACTAAGTGCTTCTACGTCATCTGTTGCCTTAATAGGTAAAAAGTGAGACGTCTTGGTCAACCTATCAATGATGACCCATACGGCTTCATTTCCCCTCCGTGACTTAGGACGACCTGTCATAAAATCTATGGTAATCTGCTCCCATTCCCACTGCGCTACCGGCAATATTGTAATAAACCAGCTGGTCTTTGGTGCTCGGCCTTCACCTGCTGACAGGTAAGGCATCTAGCCACAAACTGTGTAACATCTTTCTTCATTCCATTCCACCAATATTGACATCTCAGATTATGATACATCTTGGTACCACCTGGATGAACTGCAAATCGAGAAGTGTAAAACTCTCGTAAGACGTCCTCACGACAAACTGTGGGAACAACTAACAAGCCCCTAAACCGTAGACCTCCATCTAAGGTCCAATCTTTCACTGTCTCACCACCAGAAATCAGAGTGTGAATGGCATCTAAATCCGAATCCTGTCTCTGTGACTCAATCACCCATCTGACAAGAGTGGGCTGAGCCACAAGACTAAATAAGAATGCTAACTCACTGCCATCATCATTATCAAAGCAATACAATCCCATTTTTGCTAAATCTTCAAGCATCTTCTATTTCTGAATAGCTAAACTAGCCAAAGTCCCACGAGATTTTCGGCTTAAAGCATTAGCTACCACATTTGCCTTACCATGATGATACTGCAAATCAAAGTTTTAGTCTTCTAAGAACTCAACCCATCGCCTCTGTCAGTTGTTCAAGTCCTTTTGGGAGAAAAGGTACTTGAGACTCTTGTGGTCCGAGAACACCTCATATCTCTCACCATACAAATAGTGTCTCCAATACTTCAAAGCAAACACGACCACCACTAACTCTAAGTCATGAGTAGGGTAGTTAAGCTCATGAGTCTTCAACTGTCAAGACCCAAAAACCAGTACTCTACCATCCTACATCAGTACACAACCCAAACCATCATGTGAGGCGTCACAATAGATCACATAACCCAAGCCATGCTCAGGTATCATCAACACTGGAGTCGTAGTCAACCTTATTTTTAACTCTTGTAAGGAAGACTCACAGGCTTCATTCCATGCAAACTTGATCCCTTTCCAAGTCAACCTGGTCATAGGAGCTGCCTAACGGAAAAAATCCTTCACAAATCTCAAAAACATTCTTGGGTTGCTCACAATTCAAAACTGCCTCTATCTTTGAAGGATCAACTGAAACCCCACATTCTGAGACAACATGTCCCAAACACTTCACCTCTTGTAGCCAAAACTCACATTTTTCATATTTGGCGTACAAACGGTGCTCCCGTAGAATCTGCAACATTATATTTAAATGGATCTCGTGCTCTTCCCGAGTCCGTGAATACACAAGAATGTCATCCACGAAAACTACCACAAACTGATCCAAGTAATCGTGGAAGACACGGTTCATTAGTTAGACCAAAGGGCATAACAAGAAACTTATAATGTCCATATCGTGTACGGAACGCTATCTTTGGGATATCTTCATCTCTAATCCGCAACTGATAGTAGCCTAACCTCAAGTCAATCTTCAAAAAATAACTGGCTCCCCTCAACTGATTAAACAAATCATCTATCCTTGGCAAATAATACTTGTTCTTGATGGTGGCATGATTCAACTTCCGGTAATCAATGTACAACCTCAAAGAACCATCCTTCTTCTTAGCGAACAAGATCGGCGCGCCCCACGGTGACATACTCGGTCATATGAAACCTTTCACTTTTAAATCATCAAGTTGCTTCTTTAATTCTTCTAATTCAATCAGTGCCATAGAGATTGGCACAGTACCAGGCATCAAATCAATAGCAAACTCTACCTCTCGGTGTGGAGGCAACTCAGTCAAGTCCTCTAGAAACACATCCAGAAAATCGCGCACAACCACTGGATACAACCCGACAAAACTTAATATCACCATCGGCGAAAAGGCTAGCAAAAAAGAACCCCTGTCGATCCCTACCTCTAACACCATAAAATGAAGAAGTGAGAGAATCACACCGATCCCCCATAAAACAAAAGTAATCCCCATCCGGGGTACACACAGAGACTCTACCCCTAAAGCAATCAATAACAGCCCTGAAAGACGATAACCAGTCTATCCCAAGAATGACATCAAACCCTGTCATCTCGAGAAGGATGAGATCGAACTCCAATACCCGTCCGACAATGGTAATGGAACAACCCTGACAAACTCTACCAAGAGTGACTGAACCCCCAACAGGCGTGTTAACACAAAGTGGTCTGTCTAACTGACTAACCTCCAACCCCAATGCCCATGCAAATGATGAAGCAATGAATGAATAAGAAGCACCAGAATCACACAACACTCATGCCCAAGAATGGGACATAAGAAACATACCCCTGACAACTGAAGGACTGGATGATGGCTCAGCTAGACTGACTGCAAAAACACGACCCTGGGTTCTTTGCCCCTGAGAACCACCTGTCTAATAACCCAACTGCTGAGTGGGTGTACTCGAAGAAGCCCTTCTGCCCGGTCGAGAACTCTGAGTTGTCATAACCGGCTGAGATGGCTGAGGTGGTGGTGGCGGTTGAAACCCTGACTGAACTATGGCAGACTATATCTGCCTCTGCTGTGAACCTCCACCTCTGCCTGAACCACCGCCCCACTGTGGACAATCTCTCATCCTATGGCCCTGCTGGCTACACCCAAAACATCCACCTAACGCTGCTTAAACCTGAGTGCACTAGGTCTTGTGGTGCCCCAACTGCCCACATCTGAAGCAAGTCACCTAAGTCTGAGTGCACTGGGACTTGTAATATCCCGATTGTCCGCATCTGAAACAAGTAACATTCGGTCTAGAAGACCCCATAGACACTAAAGCTGTAGGTGCGGATCTGGCTGACTGCTATCCCCTGAACCCTGACTGTTCATTCTTCTGCTTCTTATGTGATTGAACCTCGGAGATAGCACTCATGTTCCTGCTGTGCTTATAGGACTTTCTGATAACTTTGCTGTCCTTGTTTTCAGCCTTAACCACTAAGCCTTTTCGCACTGCTTTTGCATACTCTGTCTGTTCTGAAGCAGTCACAATTGGCCTAATGGTAAGATCAAGGCCATCAACAAATTTTTCTATCTTTCTTTCCTCATCATTAGCAATCCCTGGTACAAACCTCAAAAGCGACGTAAACTTGTTCTTGTACTCAGTGACAGTCATATTTCCCTGCTTCAACCCATCAAACTCTTTCTTTAACTCTCTCCACTTAGGTGCTGGAAAGTACTTTTCATAGTACAACTTCTTGAATGTATCATAGGTCATTGTGTCCAGATTGTGGGTGTGAGAAATGGTCTTCCACCAAATCTCAGCATCCCCAACAAAATTATAAGTTACCAATGTAATCTTCAACTTGTTCGTCGCTAAATTCATAGTGTTAAGATACTTCTCCACCCTATCCATGAAATTATCCGCAACAAGCGGATCTGGACCGCCCTTAAACAAAGTCGGCATCAACTTCACAAACTTTGTAATGTGATAAAGAGTATTATCTTACTTAATTGTCTTTGGAGGTGGTGCCGGTAGTGGCACAACCTGTGACGATAATGTCACTGCAGTCCGAAACACATCATGAAAAACCGCCTGCACTGCCAACTTAAACTACTCCTCACTTATCTGAAGAGGTGGATCAATGGTTCCCCTCGCTTATCCCCCTTTTGGTGGGACCAAATCACGTAACAAGACATCTTCTTCAACTTGCTCCTGATCCCTTTTTACGGGATTAGAGCTAGAACTTTCCCCTAGATCCCTTCATGGTGGCATGACGCTATAAGAAAAAGGAAACGGGTCAAAAACAATGACACTAAAATACGCACGAGAATGAAGTCCTCACACGAATGACTTGATAAGAATGGAAACACATAAACATTTTTCATACTCCAAAAATACCCAACTAATGATAAACATGATCATGCTAATAATATACAACAACACTAAGCACTTAGCACGTAATCATATAAGCAGTTAAACAATTAAGTATGCCTTTCAAATAATTAAATACCTTAACTCATAAGCATATAAACATGCAATTCAACTTCCCATGCAATCCTAGGTAGGCCTCTACCCGTCGTCCTAATGGTATTCGAATCATTACTCTCATACCAAATTTCTAACGACCCAAAAAGATACCAAAATAATAATAATAATAATAATAATAATAATAATAATAATAATATATATAAAATTTCGGTATGACCTCTGTAGAAAAAGTCCTTCTATAACCTGTTGAAATACATAAAAATGCAACGGTCTCACTTGGCCTTAAAACTAATCTATCATGTCCCAACGCACAATACAAATACTATACCACATTCCTAAAATGATTACATACACATAAAAAGTTCCCGTTCCTCTATCTCATCCAAACAAGGAACGCACTTTAATTACATCAAGTTACAGTCCACGAAATATAGCTAAAATTTAAAAGTTTATAACTTACAACATTATACTAATTAAACTAAAGTTTCACAAAATAGTTAAAATTACATTTGTTTCTATAACATCCACTACTACAACACTATACAAGCTACGCTTGGTCATTACAAGAGAATATGGTTCATGTTTTTACACAAAAGACAACAAAATGATAATCCCGAACCAATCTAGATTTGTGGTGGATTGTCGTTCGTCATTTCTTTTCCCAAACCTGAAAAAATGTTAAGATAATGGAGTGAGCTAAACGCTCAGTAGGAAGTGTCTAAGACACACTTCTTATGACCCCCGTGAATCCACGCAAAGAACAGGTAAAATGTAAATGGGATCATGTCATAAGGAATACACATCAATAACACCACAACAAGTATGTAAATAAATATCATCCAATCACAAATACACCAAATATGCTAATGAAATACAATGTTATGTCAATGTCGCTCTCCCATTTTCTGAAACAATTCCTTTTGGCCGTTCCAAACCGTTAATGCAATCCGGCCCATAACACCTCTATGGCGCCACGAGGGGAAAGTTAGCTAGCTTTTCTCGACCACATGACACCTCAATGGCATCGTTTGGGCCTAGGTAGCTCAACCATACTAGAGTCTCTCTCTAACTTCCTCTAGATCACATTAACACTACGGACCACTAGACGTCTCCTAGGCATCCGAGATTTCACAAACACTTTTCAAAAACCATTTTTCCCAAAACAATTTTATTTTTTTCCCAATGGATGCATGGATGCTTCATGCTTCTAATCATCAATTCAACAATAGAATTTTCACATATGCTTTCCAAAATAAATTTCTAAAATATGTAATTCATACTTTCATTCAACATGGATATCACATAGTAAGCATACAAAGCATAATTCCATTTCACATAGGCATACTTATACACATTATATCGACTAACACATAGACACATTTTTCATATACAACATTTAAGCAATATGTAAGAATTCAAACTAATTAAGCATGCAAATCAACAAATTATAGAGAAATAACTCACAAAAGTATAAGAAATCATGCATTAGAGACCCCTACCTCCAAATTGAAGAAAAGCCCCAAAATCCCCAATTTCAAACCCTAATTTCGAAATCCCAAAACTTGGCCAAATGGTGCTTGACTCCTATCAAATTAATGGCCTCGACGAGCTTTACAACTTCGCTTCACAAGGTTCTACCAAATTCCCAACAACATAACCTAGATTTAAGCTTGAGATTGTGTGAGAAAAAGAAAAAAATAAATAACAGAGAGGGAGAGAGTATACTAACGGGAAGAAGAAAGAAAATGAGGGTCTGTGATGGCCCTTAGGCCATTTGATAAAGTGTATTATTCATGCGGGTCCCACAACTTATTTTTGTTTTTATATAAAAATCTTTATTAACTTAACTTTTTTATATGTGTATATATATGTATGCAATAATTAATTCACCACCACATAAAATTATACAATCAAATAAAATGCACAATAAAATAAGGGTTAATTACAACGACATTCCGTGAGGTTTGACATAATGACAGCTATATATAAGTTAGGCCATTTTTGAACGATAACACCCCCTTAAGTTTGAAAAGGTTAATAAAGACACCCAATTGTCCTGAATTGCCATTATTGCCCTTTGAGACATTCAATTACCAATTTATCCAATACAATTATTTTTTTATTAACCAAAATACCCATAAAAAACCAAAATCCTCTTTCTCTCTCCCTCCTCTCCGTCTTCACGTCTACCACCATATCCACCACCACCATCACAGCTCATCAGCACAACATATATATATATAATATAAGCACACATAGAGAGAAAATTATAATGGATCTCCATCATTACTTAAGTGCATCCAAAGGGGAAAAAAATTGATTCAGCGGAAAAAATATAAAGTTTAGCAAACTAAACATAAACCTATCAACATTACTAGAAACCCACACCAAATCAACCTTTAGAAAAATAAAAAATAAAAGCCTCACCCCAATGAATCTTCAAACCACCAATTGTGTCTAGAGTTTTGCACTGGCACATTATTGTAATCGGTGGTAAACAACTCGGATCTGTATTCCCACACAATTGACAGCGGCAGACTCTCATTTCTTCTCAAATCAAAGCATCGTTGTTCTCATACAGCCTCGTGGACCGCGATTCCACATCCTCTTCGACTCTTTTGACTTTAACACGGCTTCCTCCGGCGACTCAGTCACCGCTTCGGTACCCAGAACTCCAAATTCGACAAGTTACATCGGCTCATTAGATTTGGAAAAGGCAGTCAGCCAATTAGACGAAGATGACTCAACCTTCCTCCAGCAGCCACCACCACTCGACGCCCTAAACGACGGCGTTGACCTCTCCCTCATCAAAGTTACCGACAGATCTAAAAACGTTGTCAATTCTTGGTTTCTTCCACCATGACACCATTAACGTCGTCGAATTGCTCCTCCTCTTACCACCACTCCCAACCACTACTCATCACCACCACGGTCGAGTATCTGTTAAACCTTGAAGATGATGATGGGAGGTTTGAGTTGGCGGGCTGAGGTTGTGGAATTGGGTGTGGCAGCGTAGTGGGGGCGGCGTCGATGAGGGTAGTGGCGACTGGTGCTCTCTCTTCTTCGCTGCTCTTCCATATATATATATATATATATATATATATATATATAAGGGTAATAATTTATATAATGTATGTATATAAGGGTAATTTTGACTTTTCATGAGTTCTGATATTTTACAATAAAAATGAATTAAATATTGAAGGGCAATTTCGTCTTTTCGAACATTTTAAGGGCTTGTTTGGATCAAAATTATCACAGGGGGTGTCTTTGTCTAAAAAATAACTAAGTTGTATATAACTATCAATATGTCAAACCTCAGGGGGTGTCGTTGTAATTAACCCATAAAATAATGCATGAATGCAATGGACCCGTGACACAACAACCTCGGTAGCGGATCCCACCTGGGACCTCCCGATCCGAAAAATGAAAAAATGTCGAAATGGCAACTGATACATTTTAAAGAGTTTTGAACTCAAGGGAATGCCCCAAACAACTCTTTGACACACCCGGCACATCCCACGGTGTCCGGCACACAAAATGAGAAAAAACGAAAATACCATTGTAAAATAGAAAAATTCCAAAAAAAATGGAAAATGGCAAAAATCATAAACATTACACATGTGACCTTGGATGCTTCGTTTCATGAATTGCAACCGAATTATTCAAGCGAAGTTTCTAGGTCTTCTCTCCGGGGGAAGAGTCATAGTGAAGAGAATAAAGAAAGTGGAAAGGAATTATTCGAATTGGAGGAAAATGGGGGATGTTTTGAAGTTTTTAAGGAAACAGGCCTGAGCACCGCGGTGCTGACCTGGAATTATGTCATTTCTAGAGTTGCCCACGTCTACACCATTAATAGAAGGATCAAACCTATAATGTTCTTCCTTAGGTAATATCGAATCATATTCTTGATGAATCTAATAAATTTCCTGTCCATGCAGAAGATGTTACCAATAAATATCCATAGAGGTCAAATAGGGGAGTACCGAAGAAACAATATGAACCCGATCCCAAAGCCAAGACTAAGTACCCAATTAGTGATTATGTTTCCCCACATAAGTTGTCAGAATTGTATGCATTTTCTGTTAATTAATTGTCCACTGTGTCTATTCCTAGTAGTGTGCAAGATACATTGGCAAATCCAAGTGGACTTGGGCAATGAATGAAGAAATAGAGGCTCTTCAGATGAACAACACTTGGGAACTTTATCCATTACCCAAAAGGGAAGAAGACGATTGGCTGTAGACGGGTGTTCACAGTGAAACTTAAGGCTGATGGCAGTATTGATAGGTACAAAGCGAGGTTAATTGCGAAGGGATATATACAGAAGTACGGAGTGGATTATCAAGAGACTTTTGTTTTGGTTGCCAAAATTAATACCATCCGCATTCTTATCTCCATAACAGCAAATCGAGATTGGCCTTTACAATAATTCGACGTCAAGAATGCTTTCCTCAATGGAGATTTAGAGGAAG